CCCCCAGACATACAGGAGGTCATCCTGGTGGGCGGCTCCACGCGCACCCCCGCGGTGCAGGACATTGTCAAGAGCATGACGCGCAAGGACCCCAACGTGGGGGTCAACCCGGACGAGGTCGTCGCACTGGGCGCGGCCGTGCAGGTGGGTGGGTCTGCGTGGGGCGCGCCGGCACGCACCCGCTGCGCCCGCTCCGTTTGCTGCCTGCACGTCACCGTGACGCAATACCCGCTGGGCGAGGCGCCGCCGCGGCCCAGGGCCCTGGCTCACCCCTGGGGCGTGTCAAGCAGAGCCTGCCTGCAGCTGCCAGACCGACAGGCTTTATGAGAGACGCATATGCTTGGGGGCTCAAGCGTGTGCAGATGTGGCCTCGCGGGTTGCCTGCTCTTGTTGGTTGCTCAAAAAAGTGTGGGACGCCAAGCCGTTGCTCGGTGCACGCGCGAGCCGGATGCGCTCCATGCACAGGCCTTTGCATACACAGCCATACAATTCAACTGCCACACACACGCCCACGCAGGCGGGCGTGCTGGCTGGCGAGGTGTCAGACATAGTGCTGCTGGACGTCACCCCGCTGTCACTCGGCCTGGAGACACTCGGCGGCGTCATGACTAAGCTCATCCCCCGCAACACGACACTCCCAACCTCCAAGAGCGAGGTGCGCGCCCTTCACGCAACGCGCCAACCAGCACCCAGCGCGCCTGCTCGTCCCTGCCCCGCCGCGCCTTCAATAACGCGCGCCTGCCTCCATGCCAGGCGCTCCCCTGCCCCCACCGCCGGCGCCGCGCGGGAAATCAGAAGGCGCCCTGCCCTCTGCCGCTCCCTCGACTGCAGCCCGCGCCGGCTTCCTTCGCATCGGACCCTCTTGCAATCCCCACATGTGCTTCCAAACATCCTGATGATGAAAAGCTGCTCGTCGCCTTGACACCCATCCTTCCCCGGCCCCCCCACGAACGCCCCAACACGAAAACAGGTGTTCTCCACCGCGGCGGACGGCCAGACCAGCGTCGAGATCAACGTGCTGCAGGGCGAGCGCGAGTTTGCGCGCGACAACAAGAGCCTCGGAAACTTCCGCCTGGACGGCATCCCGCCGGCGGCGCGCGGCATACCGCAGGTGTGGGTGGAATCTGAACGGCCAGCCGCGGCGCCCGCGGCGCGCAACTGCGGCAGGGGGGGAGGAGCGGGGGGTTGATTTGCCCTTGGGCCCGGGCGAGGGGGATGCGAGCGCTCAGCGGTGTTTGGCTGTGGCTGCGCCGCGGCGCTGCGGCACGTCCGTCGGGTAGCACGTTCAAACACAGCACATGCTATGCACACACAACCCCTCCTCCTCCACCCCCACCCCCACCCAAACACACGCACCACCGCCCCCAGATCGAGGTCAAGTTTGACATTGATGCCAACGGCATCCTGTCCGTGACCGCCACCGACAAGGGCACCGGCAAGAAGCAGGACATCAAGATCACGGGGGCGTCCACCCTGGGCAAGGACGAGGTGGAGAAGATGGTCGGGGAGGCAGACAGGTGGGAAAGTGTGTATATGCATATTTGTGTGTGTGCAAACATGTGTTTGGGTATGTGAGAGTGTGTGTTTGCGTGTGAGTGAGTGAGTGAGTGAGTGAGTGTGTGTGCAAGAGAGAGAGAGAGTGCTGTGGTACCGTGGGGAAAGTCAACTCTGAAGAAGGGCGGGCGCTGAGAGCGATGATGGACGGCGGCCGAGGGGTTGCGGCGCACCCTCGCACGCACGAAGGGTGCTCGGGAGAATGGGCGGGGAGGCGGGCGGCCGCCGCCCGGCTTGCGGCAGGTTCCGCATCGCTCTCCATTCTCCCCGTTGTTCACCTAACGAACCCGCGCTGTCCCCATTCAATTCGCACCACACACACACACCCCACGTCGCACCCAAGAACCCAGCAACCGCCGCCGCCGCCTGCCCCCGCGTCGCGCCGCCCAGGTTTGCTGCTGAGGACAAGAAGAAGCGCGAGGCGGTGGACGCCAAGAACAGCGCGGAGAGCCTGGTCTACCAGTCCGAGAAGCAGCTCAAGGAATTCGCAGACAAGGTGGGTCGGCACGCCCCTGCATCAACAGGCTGGTTGCTAGAGCGGCGTGGTCTTGTGTGCTGTTTTCGGTGCGACGGGCCTGACGCCTCCCTTGGTGGCTTGTTGGTGTCGGGCTGGGGGTAAGGAGAGGGCGGGGCAGTCTGGGGATGCGGCTGTCGAGGCGGGCTGCGTGAGACGGTTTGAATCAACTTGCCTTGAGGGGGTGTTGGTTGGTGGGGGCCTTGCTTGGGTGCCACGCCTGCATTGCTGGCACACCGTTTTTGGCTTGCACGCTTTCCAGTCGCTGAATGTACAATCAGGGGGCGGGGCTCTATGCCCGTACCCAGCGCTGCGGGACGCCGGGCCTGCGGCTGAAAGCTGCTTGTCTGGGTGACCTGCGGTCCCCTCACAAACTCGAGTATGGTTTGACTTTCCGTCTCCCCACCTTCGCTATTCCCAATCCCCCAGATTAATGCCCAAACCAACACCCACATCAACCTCGCGCACCTCCCGCCAGGTCCCGTCCGAGCTCAAGGCCAAGATCGAGGACAAGATCAAGGCAGTCAAGGACGCCGTAGCCTCGGACGACACCGCCCAGATCAAGGCGGCGTCCGAGGACCTCCAGAAGGAGGTCATGAACCTCGGGGCCGCGGTCTACGGCCAGCAGGGCGGCGCGGGCG